GAGAGTTCTCCTCTGGCCTTCTGCGAGCCTACTGTCGTGCGCGAGGCATCCGCCAGACCTTCACGCTTCCGGACTCTCCACAGCAAAATGGGATTGCTGAGCGCCGCATTGGCATGGTCATGGACGTCGCCTGTACGTCCATGATGCATGCGGCTGCCCCCCATTTTCTGTGGCCGTTTGCGGTTCGGTACGCGGCGCATCAGATCAACCTTCACCCTCGGGTCTCCAGGTCGGAGACCTCCCCAGCTTTGCTGTGGACGGGGAAGGTTGGCGATGCGTCTGCGTTCCGTGTCTGGGGATCTCGGGCGTTTGTCCGCGACTTGTCTGCGGACAAGCTGTCCCCTCGTGCTGCTCCTTGCGTCTTCCTTGGCTTCCCCCCTGACGCGCCAGGGTGGCAGTTCTACCACCCCACCTCTCGCCGTGTTCTGTCCTCCCAGGACGTCACGTTTGACGAGTCGGTCCCCTACTACCGCCTCTTCCCCTACCGCACTCCGTCCCTCCCCCCACCACCGCTCTTCCTTGTGCCAGGTCCCCCCCCGGTAGACCCCCTCCCCCCTCAGGGTCCTGCCCCTTCAGGTGTGTCCCAGGTAGACGCAGTCGAGCCTGTCGAGGTTACTGGTGACTCTGGTGCTGCTGAGGGTGCTGAGCCTGGGGGTGCTGACGCTGGGGGTGCTGAGCGTGTGGGTGCTACGCCTGGGGGTGCTGAGCCTGAGGGTGCTACTACTGGGGGTGCTGAGCCTGGGGGTACTGAGCCTGGAGGTGCTACTACTGGGGGTGCTGAGCCTGGGGGTGCTGAGCCTGGGGGTGCTACGCCTGGAGGTGCTGAGCCTGGGGGTGCGGAGCCTGAGGGAGCTGGGCCTGCTTGTGTGGCGTCTGGCGGTGCTGAGCCTGGAGGTTCTCCGGGTGCTTCGTCTCGGCGGGAGCCACTCTCTCCACAGGAGCTGCGCGAGTGGTTTGCCCAGCGCTGGAGGCGTGCTGCTGGTGCTAGAGGTTCTTCGGCTACTGAGGGTGCTAGTGCCGCGGGTCCCGGAGGTGCTCGTACTGGGAGTACTGGAGCTGCTGGGCCTACGGGTACGACTGGAGCTGGAGCTGCGGAGGGTGTTGACGCTGAGGCTACTGCTGTCGGTCCTGGAGGCGGTTCTGCTGGGGGTGCTACTGGTGCTGCTGGAGGTACTGGAGCTGGAGGTGCTGCTGGCGCTGGTGCTGCCGCTGGGGGTACTGGTGCTGTCCCTGCTGTGTCTGGAGTCGCCGCGCGGCCTCGGCCGTACTTCGTTCCGCTCCTTCAGCAGGTTCTTGGTCTCCCGCCTTCTACTGGTCCTCCTCCTCCCTTAGAGTGTCCACAGCCTGTCCTGTCACAGTTACAGTTACAGCCGGCCTCCCCACTGCCCGCTCCTTCTCCCTACACTGGTCCTACTGGAGGTCTTGCTGAGCGTCGTGAGCCAGCGTCGCGTCCTGCGTCGCCTGTCCGTACTGCTCGCGCTAGTGGTCGTGGTTCGCGTCAGCGTCCTCCTCCTGTCCCTGGCACGCACCGGATGTCTCTGCGTCCGTCCACTGCTCCTCTGCGTGCCCCTTTGCCTTCTCCTCCTGAGTCTTCTCTTCCTGCTCTTGCCGACCCAGAGTCGGACTCTCTTCGTGCTGCCAGTCCTACTGTCACACGTCTCCTTGCTACTGCTGTCACTGACCCTTCCTTTGAGTCCACTGCTGCGTCTGCCCTAGTTGCTGAGCTCGTCGACTTTGCTGCTCGCTGTCGCCTAGACTACGTCGCCAGTCTTGTTGCTGAGTCTGAGTCTGTCTGTCCTCCGTCCGTCGGGGGTGAGTGTGCCCTTGGCACGGACGTCCTTGAGGACAGGCAGGAGGAGTTCCAGTACTTGGCCGCTGCTTCACCTCATCTCGTGTCCGTACTGCTTACCCCTGAGGGAGACCCGGATGCACTTGACATCCCGACTCCGCGCTCCTACGCGGAGGCGATAGAGGGTCCCTACTCCTCTCAGTGGCAGGCAGCTATGGACGCAGAGATGGCTTCCTGGAAGTCCACAGGCACCTACGTTGACGCTGTTCCCCCTCCTGGGGCGAACATCGTCAGTGGCATGTGGATTTTCAGGGTGAAGCGACCGCCGGGTTCTCCGCCTGTCTTCAAGGCGCGTTACGTGGCTCGTGGCTTCAGTCAGCGGCAGGGAGTTGACTACTTTCAGACCTTCTCTCCCACCCCGAAGATGACCACTCTTCGGGTACTGCTGCACGTAGCTGCTCACCGTGACTACGAGCTACACTCTCTTGACTTCAGCACTGCTTTCTTGCAGGGCAGCCTGCACGAGGAGATCTGGCTGCGTCGCCCACCTGGCTTCACTGGGTCTTTTCCTCCTGGCACCCAGTGGAGCCTACGGCGGCCAGTCTACGGTCTCCGCCAGGCACCGCGTGAGTGGCACGACATACTGAGGACTACACTTGCGGCTCTTGGGTTTGCTCCCTCTACTGCCGACCCGTCGCTGTTTCTGCGCACCGACACTTCTTTGCCGCCGTTCTACATCCTCGTGTACGTCGACGACTTGGTCTTTGCCACAGCTGACACTGCTGGACTCGCCCACGTGAAGTCCGAGCTGCAGAAGAGACACACGTGCACAGACCTGGGTGAACTGCGCAGCTACCTTGGCTTGCAGATCACCCGGGACAGAGCACGCCGCACCATTACCCTGACTCAGTCACACATGGTGCAGCAGGTCCTTCAGCGCTTCGGCTTCACGTACTCCTCGCCTCAGGCCACTCCTCTGCCTACTCGCCACTCGCTCTCAGCTCTGCCTTCGGATGAGTCCGTAGAGTCGAGTGGCCCGTACCCAGAGCTTGTTGGCTGCCTCATGTACCTGATGACCTGCACACGACCTGACCTCGCATACCCTCTTAGCATTCTCGCACGCTATGTTGCTCCTGGGAGACACAGACCGGAGCACATGGCTGCAGCGAAGAGGGTGTTGCGTTACTTGTGCAGTACGTCGGGCATGGGGCTTGTGCTTGGAGGGCAGAGTCCAGTGGTCCTCACTGGGCACGCAGACGCTTCTTGGGCTGACGACCAGGCTACGCAGCGGTCGTCACAGGGTTACACCTTCAGCCTTGGTTCCGGCTCTGTTTCGTGGCGGGCTACCCGCTCGTCTTCTGTTCTCGGCTCCAGTTGTGAGGCTGAGATCTACGCCGGGGCCATGGCTGCACAGGAGCTTCGCTGGCTCACCTACCTGCTGACCGACCTCGGAGAGCCGCCTCGTTCTCCTCCAGTGCTGTACGTAGACAACAAGGCCATGCTGGCCTTGTGTCGAGAGCAGAGACTGGAGCACAGAACGAAGCACATTGCTCTCCGCTATTTCCTTGCTCGTGAGCTACAGCAGCGTGGTCAGCTGCGGCTTGCGTACGTGGCCTCTGAGGCCAACACTGCTGATATCTTCACCAAGGCACTTGCGCCTTGTGATCATCAGCGTTTCTGTACTCAGCTGGGCCTTGTGCCTACCTTGCCTCACTTGCTCACCCCTTGACCTTGTTTGTACTGTTGCATATATAAATACACCTGCTCTTGCTTGTCTAGCCTTATATATATATGTAATCCTGCATGTGAACTGGCCTTGTGGCCTTGAACCTGTGCTCGGAATGTGTGGTGACTTTGTGATCCACCCTGAGCTTGCTTTGCTTTGCTTGACTGGTCTTGTGACCCCTTGTTCTCCCCCACTTTGCCTATGGGGGTGTGTCAGATTTATATGACAGAGCCACTGTAGGCTATAGTGGGGTAGCACATATGGGGTACAGTTTTCTAGGGTTTGCATTTTGTACCCAACTTTCCCTTAGTCATTCTCCATTCCTCGTTTCTTCTCAGGCCGGAGGCCGCGCACGCGAGCGCCGGCGCGTAGCGCCGGCGCGAAGCGCCGAAATTTTCAGCACCAACTGAAAGAATGAGAGATGAAGAGGCCACCGTGGCCTTAAGTACTCATGGCAGAAGGCTAGAAACAGAGGGCAGAGGGTAGAAGGGGAGAGGCTAATCCTCTCTCTCTCGCTCTCTCGAGCGAAACACCGAAATTTTCAGCACCAACTGAAAGAATGAGAGATGAAGAGGCCACCGTGGCCTTAAGTACTCATGGCAGAAGGCTGGAAACAGAGGGCAGAGGGTAGAAGGGGAGAGGCTAATCCTCTCTCTCTCTCTCTCTCTCTCTCTCTCTCTCTCTCTCTCTCTCTCTCTCTCTCTCTCTCTCTCTCTCTCTCTCTCTGTCTCTCTCTCTCTCCACAACGCTGTTCTTGGAGCCCCCCAGAGCAGTGTCGGATCATGTGTTTGGGAATCAGTCCAAGCACGTGGAGTTGAGGCAGCAAGTGGTTGACTACATTGAGGTAGGCCGAGAGGGATGCTTGTATATCCAGTCGCTTGTGAACGGATCTCTTGTTGTGTCTGAACCTTGATAGCTCAACGGGCATGTCCGATCATGTGTTTGGGAATCACTCTGAGCACGTGGAGTTGAGGTAGCAAGTGGTTGACTACATTGAGGTAGGCACCTTGATTACTACCACATAACTTGAGATCTTAGGGGGCTCCTGCTGATGTGTGTAACTTGATCGTTTAACAAACTCTAACAGGCCAAGAGGTTCGATTGAGCGACTCTCTGATACTGCTGATGGTCGTAGTAGAGAAAGAGCGAATCTTTTCTACTAGATACTCTAAACCCCCTCTTCTAGAGATGAGTGAACGATTGCCCGTTTTGTAAACGAATTTCCTGTGAAGGTGGTCGTGATATTGTCATGACATTGGCTCGTGCCGTACGAGGTGATGGCAGTGTAACAGTTCACACAATGCCATACGCCATGCCACTCCTGTTAGAACACTGTCCCTTCCTCCCTACACACACATCAGGCACACGAGGCAGACTGTGCCCCCTTTATGGAGGAGGACATGGGCTTTAAGGAGTACTGCAGCAGCTAGCCTTGTGTCCCTCCCTCCAAACCCCTCCTTACCCCTCCCTACTCCCCCCTACCAGGCACACGAGGCTAACTTTGCCCCGTTTGTGGAGGACGACGTGGGCTTTAAGGAGTACTGCAGCAGCATGCGCGAGGACGGCACGTGGGGAGGGCACATGGAGCTCCAGGCAGTTTCCCTGCTGCTGAAAAGAAACGTGTGCATTCACCAGGTGAGGGATTTTCATCCATCAAGTGAGTAGCTTTGTAGTTCTTTGAAGGTCGGGGGGGTGGCACATGGGGTGGGCACATGGAGCTGCAGGCAGGTTCCTTGCTGCTGAAAAGAAACGTGTGCATTCACCAGGTGATTGAGATTCACCTCTTGAATCACTTGGTTGCACACTGAATGAATGAATGAATGAATGAATGGATGGATGGATGGATGGATGGATGGATGGATGGATGGATGGATGGATGGATGGATGGATGGATGGATGGATGGATGGATGGATGGATGGATGGATGGATGGATGGATGGATGGATGGATGGATGGATGGATGGATGGATGGATGGATGGATGGATGGATGGATGGATGGATGGATGGATGGATGGATGGATGGATGGATGGATGGATGAATGAATGAATGAATGAATGCACCATGTATGCTCTTTGAATGTATGGCGTAAGAATCTGGTTACATTCTACACATTGCATGCATTAGTTGACACTCTGACTCACATTGCATGCATTATTTGACACTCTGACTCACATTGCATGCATTAGTTGACACTCTGACTCACATTGCATGCATTAGTTGACACTCTGACTCACATTGCATGCATTAGTTGACACTTTGACTCGCATTCTCAAAGTCCCCTGAATGCCTTGCATATGTGCCCTCACTCTCCGTCTTTTCAGTTGCAGCAGCCGAGGTGGAACATTGTCAACTTTGACGACGCCAGCACTCCCACCATCCACCTGTGAGCCATCACAACACCAAGCCATGCGTCCTATCGTCTCCTTACTGCCACCTTTCAACCCTTTGGTATCTCTCTCGTTTCTGCTACTTGAGTGTCATGATTTTCCCCTCTTGTATTCTTCCACTCCACGTCCCTCGTTTTCTCTCTGGCTCCTTGCTTTTCTCGCAGCTCTTACCACAACGGGTTGCAACGGCGTGTGGATTGAGGGGGATGTTGGGCTTTGAAGCTCAACCGAAGTAACCACATTTCCTCTATTCCCCTCCGCCCCCCCCTCCACAGCTCGTACCGCGATGGGGATCACTGCAACAGCGTGTGGATTGCGGGGGATGTTGGGTCTCTGAAGCGCATCCACCACAGTAACCGCATTTCCTCTCTCCGCTCCTCTATTCTCCTCCCGCCCCCCTTCCACAGCTCATACCACGATGGGGATCACTACAACAGCATGGGCATGGAAGGGGACGTTGGGTTTCTGAAGTGCATCCCACCCCACAGAGCCACATTCGCGCTCTCCCCCTCTCCTCTCTTCCACCCCCCTTCCACAGCTCATACCACGACGGGGATCACTACCACAGTGTGTGGATTGAGAGGTTTGCTGGACCTCTGAAACGCAACCATGGTAACCCCAATCCCTCTCACTCCCCTTCTTCTCCTCTACCGCTCCACAGCTCATACCACGACGGGGATCACTACAACAGCATGCGCATGGAAGGGGACGTTGGGTACACATCAGCTCCATGCTCCCCCTCTCCCTCTCTCCTCCTCTCCCCCCTTTCCTCCTCTTCCTATTTCCCCCCACAGCTCATACCACGACGGGGATCACTGCAACAGCGTGCGGATGGAAGGGGACGCTGGATCTCTGAAGCGCAACCATAGTAACCACACTGCCTCTCTCCCCTTCTCCTCTCCTCCGCCCCCTCTCCCCACAGCTCATACCACGACGGGGATCACTACAACAGCGTGCGGATGGAAGGGGACGTTGGATCTACACCAGCTCAACCAATCACCATTCAGGTTCACCATTAGCCCCTTGCCTCTCGCCTGCCCACCCCTCAGCAATGCACCTCAATGCCTCTCTTTTTCCAATCCAAACGCTTTATTATAGAATGCTAGAAAACAACCTTCACCTGACCGTGACACTTCACCACTACCTTTACACCACCGTTTTTGTGTTCAGAGTAGCAGTGGCAATGGCAAGGGCCAAGCCTCACAAGCAGTGTTGACGTTGCTTTTGAGAACTCTCAAAAGCCGTGCCTCTTGACCACTACCTCTACGCCACCGTTCTTGTGTTCAGGGTAGCGGTGGCAATGGCAAGGGCCAAGCCTCACAAGCACGGTCATCTGCACCTGCAGCATCGGTCCCTGGGTCAGCAGCATCGAGTGTGGATGAAGGGGCGGTGAAGCTCGTCATGTCCTCCACAGGCTGCCATGACCGCCAGAGAATCATTCAGGTGAGTTGATCCATCCTCGTCCCCCACTCCTCGGTGACAAGCAGGGTTCTCTGTAGCTGCAGCGTCTGTCCTTGGGGTCTGAAGCATGGGTGTGGATGAAGGGGCGGTGAAGCTTGTCATTTCCTCCACAGGCTGCCATGACCGCCAGAGGGTTATTCAGGTGAGATGATTTATCCCCTTTTCCCATGTCCTCCACTCCACACTCTGCCATGACCGCCAGAGGGATATTCAGGTGAGAATCAATTGGGTGTGAATCATTCAGGTGATTTGTTGCCGCCTCCTCTTCCCGCCCTCTTTTGTGCAACTTGCAGAGTAATTCAGGCTGTGGCTGCCATGTCCTCCAGAGAATGTTTTGCCCGTTTACCATCCCTTCTCTCCCCTCATCCCACGTGGCAGACCTTGGATGACCTGTCAGGTGACGTGGATGCAGCCATAGAGTACCTCATTGCTGTCCTGGCCAATGAAACGACGCCATGTGGCGATGCAGAGCATGCAGCACCTCTCTCCTCATCCTCGATTCCTCTGGGTCCTGTGCTAGCAGAAACACCAGCAACTGCACCAGTAGCATCACCATTTGAAACAGCATCACCACCTGATACAGCCACACCTTGTACAAGCAAACCGCTTGCAACGCCGGAGGCAGCAGCGCTCCCAGGCACAGCTGTTCCCAGTGATGAGTGCAACGAGCATCAGAAAACGGCCTCAGCTGCAGCACATGAAGCAGCAGCAGCAGCAGCAGCAGCAGCAGCAGCAGCAACGAAACCAGCAACGGAAGCTGATGCTGCTGCAGTTGGAAGCAGCTGCGGCAACATGCATGCGTGTGCTGCTGCTGCGCCTGCTGATTCTCCTGCTGCTGATGCATCTGGGATTGGCGTTCCTGCTGCCTCTGTTTCTTCAGTTTCTTCTACAACTGTTAAGTCATCTGCGTCAAGGCCAGTAAGCCAGCCTTTATTCTTCCTTATTTCTTGCAATATGCTCAGTTGATGCAGCAGGCACTCATGAGTTACCGAATTGTGTGTTTTTATTCTGTCTGATATGAACGACCTGTCATCAGGTTCAAGGCCGGAATAAGGCATGCCCGTGTGGCTCGAAAAAGAAGTTCAAGGCATGTTGCGGCACTGTGAAGGCTACTGAGAAGAGCATAGAAGATTCTGATCTTTCTAAAATGAGCAATAAAGAGCGGAAACAGCATCTTGCAAAAATCAAGGGTTCTGAAGAAGCTGGGCGGCAAACTAAAGGGTGTGGAAGTTCTAGTGGGGATCTACAGGAGGGAAACTCACATATAGACCTTGGCTCTTTGTGCATCTGATTATGATCATACAGTGTAACGGGTCGCCGATATGTAGTGTACTCGCTCGTGGGGAGTTGACGTTCGCGAAAGGTTTTCATCCTCGTCGGCAAAGAATTCTGCACGACGACACGACTTCGTGCATTCCACCCACCACAACCGTTGGTGCTGACAGCGCAGTCGCATTCCGTCGCAATACCCCTCCCCAAGGTCGCACCGTCTCGATAAACGGGCATATGAAGTACCGATGAGGACACTTTGATTTCGCCACCCCCCCCCATGTCTACGCGGTCGCTCGCAAACAGAACTGAGCGACGACCCTCAATGCTCCCGCTCGCGCGCTTCGGCGGTGCGTCATTGCGACTCGCCAATGTTTCCAACAAATTCGACATTTCGCTGTGCGCAATTTCTTTTCCTCCAACCGTGCACTGCTCAATCTTCCCTCCCCGTCCTCTCCCCTCCTCCCACTTCCCCCTTCAAGCCCTTTTTGCCCCTCCTCCCACTTACCCCTTCAAGCCCTTTTTGACTGAGAATAAATTTGCGCCCTTTCGATGTAGCTGTTGAGTCACCACCACACTCACCATCGAATTCGGCACACCACGATTTACCAATCACAAGCTGGTATGGGCACGCAGCAACTCGCCGGCACCGAAGTCGACGGTATCGTAACGCGGACTAAATACGGCGCCCAGCTTTACCATTAAGCTCATCCTCCTCCTCTATACTGAGTGGTCTATTCCAAAGGTTCCAAGTCTATGCCTGACGACCGAGTGCCTGCCGGACACTTCGGCTAGACATCGAGCCACCATATTTTCAACAAACATCAAGGCTGGCGAGTTAGGACTAGCACAGTCAGGTGACGGAATTTTCCACCAGACGCACTTGCTCGATCGAACCTGCCCGATCGCACCTGCCGTATCATTCAGCAGTCTCACCTGCAAATAATAAAGGGTCGCGGAGAAAGGGTATAAATATATTTATACAATCGGGTGGCCGCTCCACAGGGATATTATCTTCAAATGGCGCCTTCTCGGATACGACCTGCACTTGCCGTAGCGCTGCTCGCGCTATGCGTTGCGCTCTCCGCGGTCTCCGCGCAAGCAAGTGCGTGCCTCCCTTTTGGCCATCCCTCGCTTTGCCTCGGTAGAAGAAAGCGCGCCTCTATCGGTGTGTCACCTCGCTTAGTCATACGCGTGTGCCGCGTGTTGCTTTGCCTCCGCTGTGCTGCTGTTTCTGTCGTATTTTTCCCCGTAGTCTTTCTGCCATGTGGACACTTACCCGCCGTTAACACTGCTAGATTCTTTGTATGGAGGATCGCGCACGTTGTCTCGAGCAACTCAAAACATGGTTGAGTTCAAAGCTATGGAAGATGATGAGGAAGAGGAAAGCAGTGATCTAGAGGGTGACGAGGAATGGTTCAAACGTAAGGCCAGATTCACAGCTCTAACCTCTTATTTCCGATCCCTCTTCCTTCTCGCCCTCTCGCCCCTCCCCCTCTCCCCTCCCTCTCTCCTCTCCTATCCTTGCTGCTCTCCATCCCCCCCTTCCCGCCCCTACTCTCCCCGCTCCTCCCGTTTCTCCTTCCCTCTCCCCTCTATCCCCTCCTCGTTTCCCTCTTCCCCCTACTTTCGGCTGACCTTGTTTACGCCTGTGCAGAGGGAAAGCATCCCAAGGGTTCATGCACCCCCGTTGCAAGCAACGTCACTATCCCGATAAAGACCGCCGCCGATTTTCAGAAGCGGAAACAGCAGGGCCGCAACCAAACCGTCGTGCTTATGCTGCAAAACAGCCTGCTGCTCAGTCAGGGAAGCGGGTTGCTCTTTGACGCGGATTTCTCCTGCACCATTTTAACCGCTGCAAAACCGAATTTGTACATCAAATATAACGACGACGATATGCCAACGCTTCGCATCTGGAACACGAGCAACGTGCTTGTATACGGCATAAATTTCCTCGTTGCAGTCACGGCCGCCTCGCCCCAGTGCCCGAACGTACCTGAGGTTGGTACGGGGGTCAACTGTCCCGCCGTACACATCTCCCGGTCGTACGGTGTCATCTTCGGCAAGTCTACAGTGTTCGGACGCGTGGACGTTCACAGGAGCATGAATTCGCGAGTCGACAGCATCAAGGTTACCGGCTCCCCAACTTTCGCCAGTTCGCACGGAGTCATTCGCGTGGCGTACAGTGGACACAGCACAAAGCTTATCAAGGCGAACATTGCTATATCCAATAACGAGGCGTATGGTAAGTGCACATCCCTGTCCTTGACTGAATGTTCCCTCACGTAGTCCTCGCCTAGTTCTTTACTACTTCGTATTCTAATTAACAAAACTCCTATTTCTCATCCCCCGCCCCATCCCGTTACACGCGTCCAGGTGTGGACACCCCGATCGTCTTATATCGAGGCGCGGTGGGAGTGAAAGTGTTCCGCAACTACGTGCACGATTTCATCTTCGCGGGAATCCGGTGCGGCGCGGACGTGCATTTCGCGGGCGACTGTATGATGACGAATGTCTCCAACAACCTTGTAGTCGCTAAAGGGCGCAACACTAACGGGGATCACGACGCGGCGGGGATCTACTACTGCACGCACTGGTTCAACCCGGGGAACGTGGCGCAGTGTAACTACGTCTTTAATGGCGACCATTGCTACTATTTGGACTATGACACGTCGGACGTGCGCATCCGCGGCGGCGCGTGTATCAACACGTACGACGGGATTAAAGTCAACAACGGAAAGAGGTAAGCTCAGTTATGTGCCCCTTCTTACGAGGGAGAAGGGTAGGCTGTAAGCTTTTCTTATTCAAAATTCTCAGAAGAAAGAAACAACCATTACCCCTCATCCATTACCCTTTTCCCCCCCTACAACCCCCCACCCCCTCCCCCTCGCTACAGGAACGTCATCAAGGACGTGGTGATGAAGGGGCAGATTGGTGCAGTGGGGTGGTGCACGTGCCTCACGCCCACCGTGAACAACTGCCTCAAGGACCCCGGCCTTTACTGGGAGAACATGCGCAAGGCTTACTATGACACGCCCACATTTAGAAAGGTGAGTCTTGATCTTTGGTGAATTGCTGCCTGTCTCGGTCGCAGTGCCTGCCCCTCACGCCCGCCGTGAACAACTGCCTCAAAGACCCCGTACTGTACTGGGAGAACATGCGCAAGGCCTAAACGCCCCTCCTCCCCCCTCCCTCCTCCTTCTCCCTCCTCCTTCTCCCTCCTTCTCACCCTCTCTCGCTCCCTCCCCCAACAGTACTGGCCGTGGTGGAAGAACGTGTGTCAGGAGAGCGCAGTCAACTCAGTCGACAGCCAGAGCCCTAGCCTTGTCCTCATTCCCCTCCCTCCAATCTCCCTCTCTCTCTCACTCCCCCTCCAGTACTGGCCGTGGTGGAAGAACGTGTGTCAGGAGAGCGCAGTCAATGGGCTGAACTGCAACCCCCCGGGCGGCATGACCGCCGCCCAAACCGGCAAATGCAGCGGCCTGGCCACGGAGAACCAGCTGGATTTGATCCTCGTGAACACGACGCGTGACAGCCTCGAGTATAAGTACTGCGAAACGCTACCGGCTATGCATAAACTGAACCAGCACACTCACGTGAAGGTGGGCTCGGTTCCTTCCGCCGGGTTCCGGAATTACAAGCGGAATGATCTGGGTTTGAGGCTCTGGTCGGATATTCGGCTGAAGCGGCCGAATGTTTTGAGCTGCCCGAGACGGGCGACCGGGCCGCAGAAGAAGATTAACGCGGCGTGGTACCTGAGGAGGTTCAACATTGGGAAGCCAAAGGGGTTTGATGAGGTGCTGACGATGACGACACAGCACCTCATGGACCAATCACAGATTCCCAAGTAGACTGAATACCGTAGATTGCAGTAGGAGGGTGGTGGAGCAAGGGGAGAGGGGAAAGGAGGAGTGGGGAGGACAATTGAAGGGAAGGATGGAGAGGTGAAGGGGGGGGGGGGGGGGAAAGACTAACATTGATAGTGGAAGGGAGCGCGCTGTTGCTTCGACATTCCAGACTCAGTATACAGCAGCAGCGAGTGGTTAGTAGTTGCAGGAGTGAGGGGATGCAACGAGCAGAAATCCCACTCTTACACTCGAATTAGCAGTGTCCCAGTACGGCACACGCGACTGGTCTCCGTCTGCGGTGCCTTGAACCATCTCCACGTAGAGGAGCTAGCTACCAGCAATAGGTTGAAAGGTGCATAGGAGTTTGGTGTGTAGTAATTATTAAGTAGATAGCGAACTGGTACAACCGTGGCCTGGTTCAGCCACTAGGTTACGTACTTGTGCATATGATTTAGACTACTATTTATCTTAGTGAGAAGCTCCATCAGAGCAACGAAAGAGCTTGCTTGTTGAGAGCGCCTTACAAATAACACATAACAATTGCATGATTATCTCATATAACAATTGCAATATAGAAATCCTCGAAATCCTCGCCAACCTCATTGTTGGAACGAACCAACCTCGAATCAGTTTCTTTTCACCGCTGTTAATCCCACTCTACCCTTCTCTTCAACCAGCCAACCCGCCTGCGTATAAACCTTCACGAAACCCACCTACCTTTTTTTTGGGGGGAGGAATCTGAAACAGGTCTTAGTTCTTGTCCAGAGGTTGGTGAATCTTCACCCCCGATTCCGCCATCCTAAAGCCGTGTTAGTTGCTGCTGCTGGCATTGAGATTCGACAGTCTACATTGGAATTTCGTGCTCCCTTGACCTCCTTTGAATAAGCGGTTTGATTGACCTGCAGCGCCTACATCCGTATGGCCCCATAGCTCGCATCGCATTTCATGCGACTCCTGATCCAAGGCGCCTGATTTTTTTTTTTTTTTTTTTTTTTTTTTGGGGTCAGACTTTATTAATTATTTTCCACCTCGCCATCCAATGCACCCCTCCCAATTCCTCAGCGAGTAACGATTTTAGGATGCGATGAAATCGCCTGCAGCAGCGAACACTCGCGAGCGTCGCAGCAATTCGCGCGTCGAGGGTTTCAAATGGGCCATTCCCGACGGTCGCGGCGACCAGCCGTCCTTTTTCCGTCGAAACCTACCGCTGCCGTTCCCCTTTTCCCGGCTTTCCGTCTCGTCTTGCGCGGTCCTTCTCGCAATCGTGCTCTTGATTCTCATTGGTTCGCTCTTCCTCGGCCTCTCGGCCTTCCGATCGCGCGAGGTGACACGGGTCAGCACCAGCGACGATGACGGCGCGTCGTACGGAAATGACGACTACGGAGGCGTGGCTGCCGGCAGCCCGCCTGCTTTCTCTGACGGCGACGGCATCTTTGATGGTGGGAGCAGTGGCAATGACGGCGCGTCAAAATCCGCGTTCGGAAAGCCTAGTTTTGGCGGGAAACCGAACCGTTGGAACGGTGACCAGGACTTGGATTCTGACATAGGAGGTTCCGGTTTAGGAGGCTCCGGTATAGGAGGCTCCGGTTTTGGAGGAGCTAGCTCCTGGAAATCCGGGAAGGGTATCGGAAGAGGAGGGGGAGCGCGGTCCGGATGGGGGGGAAATGATGACGTGGACAGCGCTGGTGCAGGGCTCGGTGGGTCGAACTTTCCTCGACGGTTCACAGAAGGTTCTGATGATGACAATGGAGAAGATCCGCTGTATCCGAGGGACAGCCGGCAAGTGATTGATGCGATTGGTGCTCTGAGCGGGGGGAGGGGAGGCTTGAAACGAGGGGGGAGGCGAGGCGGGGACTACGAGGAGGAGGAGGGTGAGGCGTTGGGTGCGGTTGGGAGGGGTAGGAGCGGGAGGAAAGGGAAGAAGAAGCGCGGGAAGAAGAAGAAGCGGACGAAGAGGAGGGGGAAGAAGGGGAAGCGTGGGAGCAAGACGAGAGGAAAGCGGAGAGACAGTATAGACAATACCGAGGATGATTATGACGAGGAGGAGGATGTGAGGCGAGGGGCAAGGGGCAAGAAAAGCGGCAGCAGCACCAGGAGGAAAGGGAACAGGAAGGGCGGAGGCAGGTGGGCGGGGGGAGTGGGGCAGGGGGAGGAGGAAGAGGAGGAGGAGGGAGATGGGGAGTCAGCATGGGGGGTTGGGAGGGGGGGGCGGTTAGGGGGAAAGTGGAGTGAAGGCAGCAAGGGAAGGGGAGCATGGCATGAAGGAGGGGCGCTTCAAAGCGCCTTCGGCCGTGACTTGAGGTGTGCCATTCATGGTCGCGTGGTGCTTTGACTGTGTGGTCGTGATGCAAGTGGACTTATGTACCACACGACCACTTGCAAGTGGTCTTATGTATGGGGGCAACCCGCATCCCTCCCTTGCCCCCATCCCTCCCTTGCCCGCATCCCTCCCTCTTCCCCACTCTATACTCCTTGCCCTTCAAACTCTACTCTCCCTCCCTGCTCCCTCCTCTCCCTCAGCAAATCCATTCACTCCCCCATCCCTCCCCACCTTCTCTCCGCCCCATCCCCCCCCCTCTAGTGGCAATTCTGACGGGGGTGGCCTGGGCAGCAGCAGCGGCATGGGCTTTGGCAGGAAGCGCACATGTCTCAATCCCTTCTCCTCCTGTTCCATCCATCACAAACATTGAAATCAACCTCATTTGTCTCAATCCCTTCTCCTCCTGTTCCATCCATCACAAACATTGAAATCAACCTCGTTTGTCTCAATCCCTTCTCCCACCCCCCCCTCCCTGCAGTGGGGACACTGATGATGAGGGTGGCCTGGGCGGCAGCGGCGCCATGGGCTTTGGCAGGAAGCGTGCAGAAACCCCCTTCTCCTCTTCTTCCTTCCATCACATTTCTAAGTCGATACATAAGTCCTCTACGTTTTTTTGCCCCCTTCTCCAACCCCTTCCTCCCTGCAGTGGGGACACTGATGATGAGGGTAGCCTGGGCGGCAGCAGCGGCACGGGCTTTGGCAGGAAGCGTGCAGGAACCCCCTTCGCCTCCTCTTCCTCCTCCTTCCCTCGCAGCAGCAGCTTAGGAGCTTTGGGGGGAAATGATGATGATGATGACGATGAGGGTGGTGCTGCTGGTGGTATGGGTGGCAGGGGGATGGGGGGTTTCGGAGGAGCAGGTGTGAGGGGAGCAGCAGGAGGAGCAGGGGGAGCGGGAGGAGCGGGAGGAGTGGGCGGGGACGGAGATGAGATGGAAGAGGACGATGTTGCTGCAGGCTCTGATACCAGTAGCAGCAGCAGCAGCAGCAGCAGCAAGGCTGGGGGCTCGTCTGGGGGGATACTGGGATTTTTCTCGAGCATGTTTGGGGGGGGGAAGAAGACAGGCTCAGCTGGGGAAGGGGCCACTGTTGGGGGCACCAGTGGAGGTACTGGGGGGGGTGCAGCAGATGATTGGGACGAGGAGGAGGAGGGTGGTATGGGCGTGGGAGGGAACACAGGAGGGAGTGCAGGGGGCACGGAACGTGGTTTAGGAGGAGGGGGCTTGGGGGGGGTTGTAGGAGGGGGCATGGGGAGAAGCAGCAGGGCGTCTGGGTTTGAGGATGGGGAGGAGGATATGGAGAGCTGGCAGGGGACAGGAACAGGGGCGGCAGCAGGTGGTAATGATACCACTAGCAGCAGCAGCAGTTTGGGAGGGGGTGGTGGTAGTGGGAGCAGCGGCTCTGGCCTGTGGTCGTGGTTTTCTAAGAAGCGCAGTGGTGGTGACAGCAGCAGCGGCATTGATGCCAGCGCTGACGGAGCAGGGGCAGGATCAGGAGCAGCAGATGTGCCGGGTGGGGGTAATGTTGATGACTATGATGGGGATGGGCAGATGGGTGGAGGGGCAACAGGAGGTGCAGGAAGGATGGGAGGCGTAGGGGGTAGAGGTGCCGGAATGGGAGGTGCAGGAGCAGCAGGAATGGCAGGTAGGGGTGATGCAGATGATTATGGTGGGGATGGGCGGGTGGGTGGAGGGGCATTAGGAGGAGGTGCGGGAAGGATGGGAGGTGTTAAAGGTAGAGGTGCAGGATTGGGTGGTTCGGCCATGGGAGGTTTGGGCATGGGAGGTTCAGGCATGGGAGGTTCGGGCATGGGAGGTTCGGGCATGGGAGGTTCAGGCATGGGAGGTTCAGGCATGGGAGGTTCAGGCATGGGAGGTTTGGGCATGGGAGGTTCAGGCATGGGAGGTTCAGGCATGGGAGGTTCGGGCATGGGAGCTGCGGGCATGGGAAGTGCGGGCATGGGAGGTGCGGGCATGGGAGGTTCAGGCATGGAAGGAGCGGGCATGGGAGGTTCGGGCATGGGAGCTGCGGGCATGGATGGTGGTCCGTTCCAGCGGAGTGGCTCGTTTGGGGAGAGTGGGGATGCAGATGTGATGGAGGGCGGCAGGGTGGGGCGTGGGGTGGGGAGGAGCAGGTCGGGGAGAGTGAGGGGGCGACCAGGCATGGAGGGGTTGGAGGGGATGGGAGCAAGAGAGGGTATGGAAGCAGGGGACGGCATTGGGGGTGGTGGGACTGGTGGGGTTGGCAGAGGTGGCAGGAGTGGGTTCAGGATGGGTAGGTTGGGCAACTCTGGTGGTGCTGCTGGTTCTGGTGCTGGTTTTGCTGGTGGTGGTGCTGGTGTTGGTGGTGCTGCTGCTAGTGGTGGTGTGGGTGGGTTCAGAAGACCAGGTGGGGGGCTTGGTGGTCGAGGCAGGGGACGCCCAGCTCTGGAAGACGAGGAATGATTTTTATGTGTTTACTGGTTTTATTTACGGTAATGGTGCTAACTATGATGAGATCTAGAAGCGTTTGGAGAGAAATGGTGCAGAAAGTTGATTTGTTTTCTAAGATGAGCTTCCATATACTATTGTATATGACTTTATTGTCAACACTATAATCAATAATACTTTACGAGTCAGGTGGTGGCCATTGACAACAATGAGTACCGCTTTTGGAATGAGCAAACGATTGCATGATTCACTATCATGGAGTGGAAAATGCAATGCCAGTATGGTTACAATAGCTTCATACGCGAAACACGATACCAGTGCAGGAATACACGAGATTTCTTGATACGCCCCTTATATCTTTAACGAGGACAGCGGATGACATTCCCAAGAGAACCATGTCTGGTCAGAATTTGCTATCCAGCCATAGCTTGAACAACATCAAGGTGTGACTTTGTCACGACAGGAAACTAAGAAGATAGAATGCTGAGGTTTCTTGCTGGAACGCACGCTCGCTTCGCCTGATCAAAAGAGGCCATGCAAGAATCCTGATATTTATGCACGAATTAGTGTGACCTGCGTCGATGACGATTAATTCGACCACGGATCCTGCGGGAATCGCGAAAGTCGCGGTAATGGCAGGAACCGCGGGAAACGCGGGAAATGTGGGACACGCAGCAGCGAACGTGTCGCTAGTGCTATCTGAGAGCGCGTCGTCGGAGATTCTCGCGTGTTCCTTCCTCATGGCCACCACCATGCTCGTCGCTTACATTTCCAAGAAGCACCACTGGGTCTACTTCCCTGAGTCCTGTGAGTTGACTTTCGAGTCGATTGAAAATTCGTCCTCGGAGATTCTCGTGCGTTCCTTCCTCATGGCCACCACCATGCTCGTCACTTACATCTCTAAGAAGCACCACTGGGTCTACTTCCCTGAATCGTGTGAGTCTACTATTGGGTTTCTGGATCCCATACACCCCGCAGATTTCATTGCTTCACTCTTTTACTTATTCAGCCGATTCTTACCCATAAACCCTTCGAATCTGGCCTTTACGATGAATGTGACCTCTGTTTGTGCTTGTATGGAATGGCAGCGGCGGCGCTGGTGCTGGGGATGGTGTTCGGCGTGCTGTCGCTGGTCCTGGAGGACGATCTGGCGTTCACGTTCAGCCCGGAAATCTTCTTCTACGGCCTTCTCCCCATTATAATTTTCAATGCCGGATACGCCTTGAAGAAGAAAGTACGGCAATGACTTGCAATTTCCTGGTTTTGGAGAAAAACAAGCTTCACTCGGGATCGCTCTCAGCTATGGTTGCACCTCAGCATTGATTCGATAAGCCACCTTTAGCAGCACTCACTGTCAGCAGACTTCATGCTGAGTGAATAGTTGGTGTTCTAACTACTTCCGAGTTTTCACTTTCACTGTCATTTCTCTGGTTACCTGGCAGGATTTTTTCCGCAATTTCTGGACAATCACCCTCTTTGCTGTCGTGGGAACGATCATATCCACGCTGGTGTACGGCCTTGCCACGTACTCCCTCGTCCGAGCTGGCATTGTGACCCACATGACGTCAGATTCGCCTCTCCTCGAGTCGCTCATATTCGGATCGCTCATTTCCGCCATTGACCCTGTCGCTACGCTCTCCATCCTGCAAGGTATCACTGTGTCGCCAGGCATTGGTCGTGAGACACTAGTCATTTGACATTAGTCATGAGACGTTAGTCATGAGACATCAGTCATTCAGTCATAAGACATTAGTCATGAGACGTTAGTCATGAGACATCAGTCATTCAGTCATAAGACATTAGTCATGAGACATTAACCATGAGTCATCACTCAGGCGACATCCTTCTCCTTCACACTTGTGCTTCCCTTTCCTTTCTTGCCTTGATGCATGGCAGACGTGCAGGCGCCAACACTTCTCTATAACTTGGTGTTTGGAGAGAGTCTAGTCAACGACGCCGTCTCCATTGTGCTCTTCCGCACCTTTGCCTCCTTCACACCTTTTCTTCCCTGTCCGTTCTTGCCTCGCCCGCACGTGGCAGACGTGCAGGCACCAACGCTGCTCTACAACTTGGTGTTCGGAGAGAGCCTTGTCAACGACGCCGTCTCTATCGTGCTCTTCCGCACCTTCGCCTCCTTCACCAACCAGGAGTTCTCCATGGCCAGCATTGCCACTGCAATAGGTACGTTCTCGCATGCATCTGGCATTGTATGCACGAACCTCAACCTGCTTCTTCACCAACCAGGAGTTCCCCTGGCCAGCATCGCCACTGCCATAGGTGCGTTCTCTCACACGCATCTATCCATCCATGCAAGAACATAACTCACATCCCTCACCAACCAAGAGTTCTCCATGGCCAGCATTGCCACTGCGATAGGTGTGTTTTTGTGTACATCTGTCATTGTATGCGAGAACTCAAATTTGCATCCTTCACCAACCAGGAGTTCTCTATCGCCAGCATCGCCACTGCCATTGGTACGTTCTCGCATTCATATATCAATCCATGAAAGAACATATCTCGCGTTCCTTCACCAACCAGCAGTTCTCCATGGCCAGCATTGCCACCGCCATTGGTACTCTCTCTCACTCCCTGATGCCCCACTTTCCCCTGCCGCCCTTCCTTTCCTGCCCCCCTTCCACTTCCCCCAACCCAACAGTCCAATTTCTGGGCATAAGCGTGGGCTCCATCCTGCTAGGCATCCTCGTGTCCCTCCTCTGCGCCCTCATACTCCGATTTATCGACATCAACAGCGAGTTCTCCAAGTTCGAGCTCTCTCTCGTGCTCGTCTCGGGCTACCTCTCCTACTCCGTTGCTGAGATGCTCTCTCTATCCGGCATCATGGCTCTCTTCTTCTGCGGCATCTGCAATGCACACTATGGGTACGCCCTCTCGCTTCCTATGCAATGCGGGTCACAGGTGTGCATGGTGTTTTGTATTCCCTTTGAGGGCAGAGGCAGCCAAGTTCGAGCTCTCTCTCGTGCTCGTCTCGGGCTACCTCTCCTACTCCGTTGCTGAGATGCTATCTCTATCCGGCATCATGGCGCTCTTCTTCTGTGGCATCTGCAATGCACATTACGGGTACGGTGTCTCATTTCGTATGCAACACGGATTACGGTTATAGTACGAGTATTGCTTCATGGTACAGTAATGAACTTAGTGTGCGACAAATATTGACACCGCTCCCACATTGTGTGTTGCAAAACATAACTTTTGCGCTTTGCTTAGCACTGTTGCCGTGCACGGAGTTCTTATTGAGGTGTATCGCTGTTGCCACGTTGCCACGCGCAGGTACTACAACATCTCACACGCGTCCAAGATCAGCAGCAAGTACCAAGCCATTGTTGCCATGCAGAGGGTTCTGACTCATGTGCCACGCTGTTACCATGTTACCACCACGCGCAGGTACTACAACATCTCACACGCGTCCAAGATCAGCAGCAAGTACGCGTTTGAAGCACTCTCCTTCATGGCCGAGATGTTTGTCTTTGCCTACCTGGGCATGCAGGTGAGTGGTAGGCTGGGCATGCAGGTGAGTGGTAGGCTGGGCATGCAGGTGAGTGGTGCGCTGTGGGCATGCAGGTGAGTGCTGGGCTGTGATCAGTAGAATCTTTAGTGAATCACTCTCCTTCATGGCCGAGATGTTTGTCTTTGCCGACCTGGACATGCAGGTAAGACGCTGTGCTGGGCATGCAGTTGAATGGTGTGCAAGTGAGTGTTGCGCTGCGCTCTCCTTCATGGCCGAGATATTCGTGTTTGCATACCATACATGCAGGTGAAGCGGACATGCAGGTCTGCCATTCCTCATATCATGTGTATCCTCATCCATACCTGCGCCATGTCTCACACCATCTCTCGCCCCGGCAGGTGGTGGTGATGCAGCATGTCATCGACTGGGGTCTGCTGCTCTCCGCCATTCCCCTCATACCATCTCTATCCCCATCCCTCTCCGCCATTCCCCTCACACCATCTCTATCCCCATCCCTCTCCGCCATTCCTCTCATACCATCTCTATCCCCATCCCTCTCTGCCATTCCTCTCATACCATCTCCATCCCCATCCTTCTCCGCCATTCCTCTCATACCATCTCTATCCCCATCCCTCTCTGCCATGTCTCACACCATCTCTATCCCCGTCCCTCTCTGCCATGTCTCACACCATCTCTATCCCCGTCCCTCTCTGCCATGTCTCACACCATCTCTCGCCCTACCAGGTGGTGGTGATGCAGCATGTGATCGACTGGGGTCTACTTCTCTCTGCCATTCCTCTCTGCCTCCTTTCTCGAGCCTTCAACGTCTTCCCTCTCTCCTTCCTCTCCAACTGCACGCAGTAAGCCCCACTCTCATACTCCCCCCGGCCTCCCTTTCGCCTTCCTCTCTTTCTTCATAAACTCCTATGCACCCGTGCTTCCTCATCCTAAACCCACCCCTGGACTTGAAAACATTGTTTTCTCCTGCGTGCCCTTATGTTCTCCCATATTTCCCTATGTTCCTATGCCCACCCAGGGCCACCCAGGGCCAACAAGATCCTCACCAACATGATTCTAATGATGTGCCTCAGCGGGCTAAGGGGCGCCATTGCCTTTGCCCTCGCCCTCAACATGCCATCGCTCTTCCCTGCCCCTATGCCTCCCTGCGTTCCCATATCCTCCCAGGGCCAACAAGATCCCCACCAACATGATTCTAATGATGTGGCTCAGCGGGCTGAGGGGCGCCATTGCCTTCGCCCTCGCCCTCAACATGCCGCAGCGCAACCCCGCCATCATCTCCACCACCCTCTTTGTCGTTGTCCTCACCACCGTCGTCATGGGCGGCTCCACTTGTCCTCTTCTGCGCGCTCTGGGACTCTCCGCCGCCCACCCGCACACTCCCAAACATGCACGCGCCTCTCTGGCTGGGTCCTCTCATACAAGCACTCCCTTACACTCACCTCCACCGTCCCACTCACACCCACACTCACGCTCACACCCACACCCACACTCACATGCACACACTGAAGCAGGGGCAGCAGAAGCAGAGGAACAACCGGAGCACCATCATTCCATCCGCACTGTACCCTCTTTAGACGTCCCCCTTATAGGCGGTCGTAGCCTCAACGACCTTCTATACATGCAGCGATCCCACTCACTCTCTCTCGGTCCCCCCTCCGGCCTCCACAAGTGGTTCAAATGGCTAGACACGCATTACTTAAAGCCACTGTTCGGCGGCAGGGCGTTTAGAGACCAGCACTTATCGGAGCAACTAAGTGTTGACGAGGAGGAGGCAATGGAGGGAATCCCCTGCTTTTCCTACCGTGGGATTGGATTCTCGCTAAGTGTTCCAAGGAACTGGGTGGAACAGCTGCCATCCGCGTTTGAAGACCATGTGCTGGTGAAGTTTAGTGACCCCGATGTGACTATAGACGGCGATCCTGTAGCAGAGCTCGACGTGATCTGCTTCTCGGTCCGCCCGTCTGGGATTTCGTCGCTAACCGAATTCGGGGACCCGATGAATTTCCTGCTGACCGAGTGGGATGATATCTGCCCGGAGCTTGCAGCTGGTGTGAGCGCAAGCAGCAAGGTTGGCAGCAGTGGTGGGGACACTAGCAAGGCTGGTGGTGCGGGCACTAGTAAGCCTCTGGTTCTGGCTGAAGGGGTTAAGAGATCCGTGTCTTTCTCGTTACCTGAAGCAGCATCTGCTGCTGCACCTTACCAGCCTTCTCATGCTGCTCCCAATTCTGCTACCACTACTTCCACTGCTGCTGCTGCTACCTCTGCTGCCGCTGCTGTTGCTGCTACCACTGCTGCTGCAACTACTGCTGCTACTGCTACAGCTACTGCGGCTGCTGCGGTTACACCGACTGCTGAGAATGACAGTAACACCAGAGTAAAAGCAACGTTCTCTTCTATCTTTAACAGTCCGGGATCACCACCCACCCACCCATCATCCTCTCAACCATCCCAGCAATCCCCCTCCCAACACCAAGGCTCAGGAGGAGAATGGCTCTCCTCATCTTCCAGTCAGAAAAACGCCCCTTTAGGGGCGAGCGGCCGAGAGCAGACCTCCCAGGCTGCCTTACCATCCATGCCCAGCCTTGCTCGGGCACGCTCACAAACTTCCCATGCTGCCCGAGCTGCCCCGGCGTTTGTTATATGGGCAGAAGAATTGATTTCTGCCGGGGGGAAGTTTTTCCGGTATGAGCTGGTGGTGCATCCAGAGGATTTGGGGGATCACAAAGCGGATATTCAGCACCTGCTGCTGTGTGCAGGGGTGTCAAACGGTGCTGTGCATGTTTGCAGGGTGAGGGGCACCGAGGCGTTTTTCTTCGAGGGTAGGCCTCTGCTGAAACACATTCTGGACTCTTTTGCCTTATCGTGAAGGGAGATGAGGTGGCTAATTGAAAGGTACCTGTGTGTGCAATCTCTCGATGCTTTACATGAGTGAATTTGTTGCTGTTGTACCAGTGGACTGGCAACAGGGATGGAAGCAGAGAAAGTGGTTGCTCAACAATATACATACCACCAGCATACTATCATACGATGCATGGGGATAGTGCATTGAAACAAGTGATAAATTTTCGATCCAGCAGTGGACAGATGCCAGGCCATGGTGCATTTACACATGTATCGCTATGTACAAGAAAAAAGGAATTCTTCACATCACGTCCAATGCAGCACTGGGCAGTATGAATGGTACCCGCAAGCATCTACAGTAACCGAGAGCAACTATAGCGTAGACAGGAACCACGGCAGGTGATGGCCAATTAGTGCACAGCACGTGGCTGCTGCACGCGCATGCGCTGCGCCCTGCACTCCATGGCGGGCGACCAGCAGCGCGCCACGACCTCCTTCGGCTGCACCACGAAAAGGCACGGCATTGGCGGGTGAGGGAGAGAAAAGAAAGACAGATACGGAAGGGCGAAAGTGGTGGGTGGGAGAGAATAACACCAGGTAAGGAGGGAGGAAGAGGAGGAAAAGGGAGAGAGGAAGTAAGGAAGTATGCACGACGCAGATGGAAATGAGAGGCACGAAACGGATAGGTGAAAGGCGTGGCAGGCTCGAGATAGTGCGTACCGCGTGGGGGTGAACCGCGTGTGCCTTGGTGGGCGGGTATTCGTCAACCTTCGACAGAGCCCTCATCAACGCGTCTGGCATTCACGCCATGGGGAAAGGAGAAACATGATGAGTACGGAAACCATGGCTCTCTCAACGGGAAAAAGTATGATGAGAACGTTACGACATTTCAAGTGCGGCTTCATCCAGCAACCACGCCCGTTCTTCACGTGAATCAAGCTAAAGTGAACAAATTACGGCGACTCGTCGCCTTATTTTACCGTGGTTCCATTTCAAGGCTTCTAAAAAATCAACGGTCGTACCTTTGTCAACGTGTTGCATTCTGGCCTCCTTGGCCGCCTGAACCTTGGCGATGGCCTCGCGCGCTTTCATCTTCCGCCGCTTCTGCGCGCGCGACATCAGCTCCGCCAACACCTTCCCCATCAGCTCGCGCCGCTCCTCAATCTCCGCGGGGTGGTTGTGCAGCGTGCGCGCGCCGCTGCAGCAGCATCCGCGATATAGAGAGAGGTGGCACTCGCCGCAGACGTCGACGTAGAAGGGCAAGCAGAGATGCACGTGGCCGGAATTCTCGTCCGCGTACACGACCTTGCTCGTCAGCGCCTTGGGACATGAACACAGCGCCATGGCTTTTTAATAGGGCGCTTCAACTTAAAAGTGGAAATAAACTAAAATTTACGGTTCGAGGAGGAAATTATTTTGCCTGCTCACGCATTCCCTAACTAAATGAGACCTGTTTCCTCGGAATCTGTGATTTACGTTGAGGAAATTAATAACCGCACCAAGTAAGATGCGAGAAAGGAATGAAACCAAAGAAAGACAGTAATTATGCGACACTAGCAACTGACAGCTTTTATGCAACACTAGCAACTGAGCACAAGAATGGGAGGTATGATGAGAGAAACTGATGCCTTCAACGAATTGGAGCCATTATATTTCTTCGAGTCAACCTGACTGCTGCCAAGAAATCTGCTCATCGATTGAGATGAGCTGAGATGAGAGAGGGGATGCTTGTTGCGCGGTGTTCGATGATGAGCGAAATGCGGTGATTGCGGAAGGGAATTTGTTGAATCCTACCTGGCCACCGCAGATGACACGTCGTTGGGAGATTGTGCGATATTGTGGAGCCTTTTTGGGGCAGGAAAGTACACTTGAAAGGATGATCGATTGACATTTTGTTCGGAATGAGACAGACAATGCCTTATTTCAGATACAATATGTTTAATGTTAAACGGTTATACGACATGACGTTTTGCCCGCCAATCGTTTGAACACAATTGGTACTCTCGAAACTGCTGATGAATTGTCTGCCAGCAGCGCGCTTACTTGCCCAGCTGGCACCCTTTTTGTCCAAATCAATACATTTTGGTCGCCAAGTCGCTGGAATGCGCTGGGTGGATGGGGTATACACGTCACCAAGACGTGGCCCTGAGGGAAAACTAAATATACTGAATAAAAGCAGAAAATGCAACAAAATTTGATTTCTGTACACTGAAGAGAAATTTCTTAGTATTACAATCTATGTTCATTCAGTTTTCTCAATGCATCAGAGCATTGTCTCACACAGGGATACGACACCATCAGTAAAATGATATTACAAGCCAAACAAGGAAACTTATCTGTGCAGGAAATCTTGCTAACAGTTGCTACTTGAGCAATGCCACTCTCGACTCTAAAATCTAATATCTGTAGCCAGGAGGAGGCGGTCCTCCTGGTCCATATCTAGGGGGAGGGGGACCATATCCAGGCGGGGGTGGCATACCTGGGGAAGGCGGAACCCCTGGGTACCCAGGAGGGGGAGGCCCCCCTGCCATGCCAGGAGGGGGAGGCATGCCTGGGGGACCAGGGGGAGGTCCCCCTCCCCCCATGTATGGAGGTGGGGGCATTCCAGGGGGAGGGGGACCTCCCCCCATACCAGGGGGAGGGGGACCTGCACCTGGGGGGAATGGCTGCGGGGGGGGGCGCCCAAGGGGGGGAGGGCCAGGGGGAGGTCCACCTGGGGGAGGGGGCCCCCCCATCATAGGGGGAGGGGGACCCCGCCCAGACATGGGGGGAGGGGGACCACGGGGAGGGCCATATGGGGGAGGCCCACCACGGGGAGGGTAAAACTGCCCTGGGGGTGGACCACCGGGCCTAGGAGGTCCGTACGGAGACCCGGCAGGCCCCGGACCACCAGGTCCGGGAGGAGGCCCACCAGGAGGTCCGGGAGGGTACGGCCCGGGAGGGGGAGGGCCGCGGAAAGGGGGACCTTGTGGGGACCCTTGGGGGGGACCAGGGGGACCATAAGGGCTGGGGGGAAAGTTCCTGGGGGGAGTGCCGTGGGGAGGGGGGGCCGGGAGGGGGACCTCGATTGTAAGGAGGGGGAGTATGGGGAGGGGGGCCGTGGGGAGGGCCGGCGTGGGGGGGAGGGGGACCGTGAAAAGGGGGGCCGTGGGGAGGAGGGGCATGGGGAGGGGGCCCTCTGGGAGGGGTGGCAGGAAAGGCTGCTGGGCGGTTTTGGTGGCCGAGAATGGGCGGCGCAGAGGAGGGAGGGGCGGCAGGGGAGGAGGCGGAGTAGTAGGGAGCAGGGGCACCGGGAGTGGGGAGGACAGGAGGGGCGGTAGAGGGGGCGAGAGGGGCAGGGGGGTTGTATGGGGAGGAGGAGAGGATGGGTGCAGATGGCGTGGTGAAGGGGGTGACAGCGGCAGTGGTGGTGGTGGCAGAAGAGAGGATACCAGCCGTGGTGGTGGCAGTAGTGGAAGGAGCAGGGATGGGGGCGACTGTGGGGAGGTCTGGGCGAGTGAAGTCCCTGCTGCGATCATTGTTGGCCTGGAGAGGGATGAGGGGGTAAAGGCAGGACAAAAGGAAGTTAGAGGGAATTGAGGAAGAAGAGAGGGACGAATGCGACTGTAGGGAGGTCTGGGCGAGTGAAGTCCCTGCTGCAATCATTGTTGGCCTGGGGGGGAAAGGGGGGCGGGGATGAGGTGGTAAATGCAGTGCAAGGGAAAAAAGAGGGAAGATGGGTGCGTGTGAGTGAGTAGGCAGCTTGGAGAACAAGATTTAGGAGGAGAGAACGACAGAAGATGTTCATGCACGGGTGAGCCCCTCTAACCACCTTGCCTTTCCACTCCCCACCTTGCCTAACCACCCACCACCGTGCCTCACCACCGACCACCATGTCTCACCACCGACCACCGTGTCTCACCACTCACGACCGTGCCTCACACCTCACCTTGACATTTGAGGTCGGTGTGACGGGAGAAGGAGATGCGCAGCTTGCAGCAGCCCCCCTCGTAGATGCAGTGCGACCAGCCCACATGCCTTGCCTTACATCACACACACCTCACCACCGCGCCTCACACCTCACCACCGCGCCTCACACCTCACCACCGCGCCTCACACCTCACCACCGCGCCTCACACCTCACCTTGACATTGAGGTCGGTGTGACGGGAGAAGGAGATGCGCAGCTTGCAGCAGCCCCCCTCGTAGATGCAGTGCGACCAGCCCACATGCCTTGCCTTACATCACACACACCTCACCACCGCGCCTCACACCTCACCACCGCGCCTCACACCTCACCTTGACATTGAGGTCGGTGTGACGGGAGAAGGAGATGCGCAGCTTGCAGCAGCCCCCCTCGTAGATGCAGTGCGACCAGCCCACATGCCTTGCCTTACATCACACACACCTCACCACCGCGCCTCACACCTCACCTTGACATTGAGGTCGGTGTGACGGGAGAAGGAGATGCGCAGCTTGCAGTAGCCCCCCTCGTAGATGCAGTGCCCTTCCAACGCGTCCTTGGCTGATGTGGCCGCTGCTATGTCTGTGGATTGGAATGGAGGGGAATGTGCAAAGTGGGATGGGTTTACACAGCAATGCAGTAGCCCCCCTCGTAGATGCAGTGCCTTTCCAGAGCATCCTTGGCTGATGTGGCCGCTGCTATGTCTGCAGCATGGGAGAGTGCGAGAACGGAAGAATTGGTGGAGAGTGGGATGGGATGGCTGTGGTGTGGCATACACACACATGTGCACAGCGTCACCAAGAAGCGATGTACCAGGAATTCATGCACTAACCTGGGCAAGAACCTGGGAATCAGCCTGGGCACGAACCTGGGAATCAGCCTGGGCACGAACCTGGGAATCAGCCTGGGCACGAACCTGGGAATCAGCCTGGGCACGAACCTGGGAACTGGACGAGCGCCTGAAATCCGGCACTCTTCTCAAAGATGGCAATTTTCTGCACCGCGCCATATGCTGAGAAGACCTGCAGCAAGGCATGCAGAGAGCGAAAGAGAAATGGAGGGTTATGGGGGGCAGAAACAGTGGGAGGAAGAGTAGGTGGAGTAGGAAAGAGAGTTGAGAGAGTGGGAAGGTGGTAACACAGCAGCCAATCAGAGAGGGCGAAATGCCAAGATGTCCGGGCTTGTACTACTCAGAATGAGAAGCTGCTGTGTGCCAATCGCCAGCAGTGTGCAGGGGTGAATCACCGTGGGAAGCGGTGACTCACGGTGTGCAGCACGTCCATGGTGACGGGGTACTGCATGTTCTCAATAGATGCCAGCAGCAAGGAGGCACATGGTATGGGGTGTAATGCGGTGACACATGGTGTGCAGGGACGACCAAAGGTGTCAAGCGGTGCCTAATGGTGCAAAATGGTGACTCACGGTGTGCAGCACGTCCATGGTGACGGGGTACTGCATGTTCTCTATAGATGCCAGCAGCACGTTGCTTCCCGCTTCGCCCTTCACTGCTGCCACAGGCCCTGGGGTGAGCTGATAAGGCCACAGGGGTGAGAGCCAAATGTGGGTTGGGGAAACAAAGGGAGAAAACTCAAACACTGCATGATCTCGATTGATGCCAGCAGCACGTTGCTGCCTGCTTCGCCCTTCACTGCTGCCACGGGCCCTGGGGTGAGCTGGTAAGGCCACAGGAGTGAGAATGAATTGAGGAAGGATGGGGAAAAAGGAGGGATTGAGACCGGGGGGAACATTGCTGTGTTCCATGACCATGGGACGAGGTGACAAGGAGGGTAAAGTGAGGGTGAAGTGAGGGTGAGATGGGTGGGGAAGGGAGAGAAGGAGAAACTGCCTCTCTACCTGCACGCTTGCCTCTCTACCTGCACGCTTGCCTCTCTACCTGCACGCTTGCCTCTCTACCTGCACGCTTGCCTCTCTACCTGCACGCTTGCCTCTCTACCTGCACGCTTGCCTCTCTACCTGCACGCTTGCCTCTCTACCTGCACGCTTGCCTCTCTACCTGCACGCTTGCCTCTCTACCTGCACGCTTGCCTCTCTACCTGCACGCCTGCCTCTCTACCTGCACGCCTGCCTCTCTACCTGCACGCCTGCCTCTCTACCTGCACGCCTGCCTCTCTACCTGCACGCTTGCCTCTCTACCTGCACGCTTGCCTCTCTACCTGCACGCTTGCCTCTCTACCTGCACCTGCCTCTACTGCCTGCCTCTCTACCTGCACGCCTGCCTCTCTACCTGCACGCCTGCCTCTCTACCTGCACGCCTGCCTCTCTACCTGCACGCCTGCCTCTCTACCTGCACGCCTGCCTCTCTACCTGCACGCCTGCCTCTCTACCTGCACGCCTGCCTCTCTACCTGCACGCCTGCCTCTCTACCTGCACGCCTGCCTCTCTACCTGCACGCCTGCCTCTCTACCTGCACGCCTGCCTCTCTACCTGCACGCCTGCCTCTCTACCTGCACGCCTGCCTCTCTACCTGCACGCCTGCCTCTCTACCTGCACGCCTGCCTCTCTACCTGCACGCCTGCCTCTCTACCTGCACGCCTGCCTCTCTACCTGCACGCCTGCCTCTCTACCTGCACGCCTGCCTCTCTACCTGCACGCCTGCCTCTCTACCTGCACGCCTGCCTCTCTACCTGCACGCCTGCCTCTCTACCTGCACGCCTGCCTCTCTACCTGCACGCCTGCCTCTCTACCTGCACGCCTGCCTCTCTACCTGCACGCCTGCCTCTCTACCTGCACGCCTGCCTCTCTACCTGCACGCCTGCCTCTCTACCTGCACGCCTGCCTCTCTACCTGCACGCCTGCCTCTCTACCTGCACGCCTGCCTCTCTACCTGCACGCCTGCCTCTCTACCTGCACGCCTGCCTCTCTACCTGCACGCCTGCCTCTCTACCTGCACGCCTGCCTCTCTACCTGCACGCCTGCCTCTCTACCTGCACGCCTGCCTCTCTACCTGCACGCCTGCCTCTCTACCTGCACGCCTGCCTCTCTACCTGCACGCCTGCCTCTCTACCTGCACGCCTGCCTCTCTACCTGCACGCCTGCCTCTCTACCTGCACGCCTGCCTCTCTACCTGCACGCCTGCCTCTCTACCTGCACGCCTGCCTCTCTACCTGCACGCCTGCCTCTCTACCTGCACGCCTGCCTCTCTACCTGCACGCCTGCCTCTCTACCTGCACGCCTGCCTCTCTACCTGCACGCCTGCCTCTCTACCTGCACGCCTGCCTCTCTACCTGCACGCCTGCCTCTCTACCTGCACGCCTGCCTCTCTACCTGCACGCCTGCCTCTCTACCTGCACGCCTGCCTCTCTACCTGCACGCCTGCCTCTCTACCTGCACGCCTGCCTCTCTACCTGCACGCCTGCCTCTCTACCTGCACGCCTGCCTCTCTACCTGCACGCCTGCCTCTCTACCTGCACGCCTGCCTCTCTACCTGCACGCCTGCCTCTCTACCTGCACGCCTGCCTCTCTACCTGCACGCCTGCCTCTCTACCTGCACGCCTGCCTCTCTACCTGCACGCCTGCCTCTCTACCTGCACGCCTGCCTCTCTACCTGCACGCTTGCCTCTCTACCTGCACGCCTGCCTCTCTACCTGCACGCCTGCCTCTCTACCTGCACGCTTGCCTCTCTACCTGCACGCCTTGCCTCTCTACCTGCACGCTTGCCTCTCTACCTGCACGCTTGCCTCTCTACCTGCACGCTTGCCTCTCTACCTGCACGCCTGCCTCTCTACCTGCACGCTTGCCTCTCTACCTGCACGCCTGCCTCTCTACCTGCACGCTGCACGCCTGCCTCTCTACCTGCACGCCTGCCTCTCTACCTGCACGCCTGCCTCTCTACCTGCACGCCTGCCTCTCTACCTGCACGCCTGCCTCTCTACCTGCACGCCTGCCTCTCTACCTGCACGCCTGCCTCTCTACCTGCACGCCTGCCTCTCTACCTGCACGCCTGCCTCTCTACCTGCACGCCTGCCTCTCTACCTGCACGCCTGCCTCTCTACCTGCACGCCTGCCTCTCTACCTGCACGCCTGCCTCTCTACCTGCACGCCTGCCTCTCTACCTGCACGCCTGCCTCTCTACCTGCACGCCTGCCTCTCTACCTGCACGCCTGCCTCTCTACCTGCACGCCTGCCTCTCTACCTGCACGCCTGCCTCTCTACCTGCACGCCTGCCTCTCTACCTGCACGCCTGCCTCTCTACCTGCACGCCTGCCTCTCTACCTGCACGCCTGCCTCTCTACCTGCACGCCTGCCTCTCTACCTGCACGCCTGCCTCTCTACCTGCACGCAGGGCACGCCCTGCCTCTCTACCTGCACGCCTGCCTCTCTACCTGCACGCCTGCCTCTCTACCTGCACGCCTGCCTCTCTACCTGCACGCCTGCCTCTCTACCTGCACGCCTGCCTCTCTACCTGCACGCCTGCCTCTCTACCTGCACGCCCTGCCTCTCTACCTGCACGCCTGCCTCTCTACCTGCACGCCTGCCTCTCTACCTGCACCGCCTGCCCTCTCTACCTGCACGCCTTGCCTCTCTACCTGCACGCCTGCCTCTCTACCTGCACGCCTGCCTCTCTACCTGCACGCCTGCCTCTCTACCTGCACGCCTGCCTCTCTACCTGCACGCCTGCCTCTCTACCTGCACGCCTGCCTCTCTACCTGCACGCCTGGCCTCTCTACCTGCACGCCTGCCTCTCTACCTGCACGCCTGCCTCTCTACCTGCACGCCTGCCTCTCTACCTGCACGCCTGCCTCTCTACCTGCACGCCTGCCTCTCTACATGCACGCCTGCCTCTCTACCTGCACGCCTGCCTCTCTACCTGCACGCCTGCCTCTCTACCTGCACGCCTGCCTCTCTACCTGCAACGCCTGCCTCTCTACCTGCACGCCTGCCTCTCTACCTGCACGCCTGCCTCTCTACCTGCACGCCTGCCTCTCTACCTGCACGCCTGCCTCTCTACCTGCACGCCTGCCTCTCTACCTGCACGCCTGCCTCTCTACCTGCACGCCTGCCTCTCTACCTGCAACGCCTGCCTCTCTCTACCTGCACGCCTGCCCTCTCTACCTGCACGCCTGCCTCTCTACCTGCACCGCCTGCCTCTCTACCTGCACGCCTGCCTCCTCTACCTGCACGCCTGCCTCTCTACCTGCACGCCTGCCTCTCTACCTGCACGCCTGCCTCTCTACCTGCACGCCTGCCTCTCTACCTGCACGCCTGCCTCTCTACCTGCACGCCTGCCTCTCTACCTGCACGCCTGCCTCTCTACCTGCACGCCTGCCTCTCTACCTGCAACGCCTGCCTCTCTACCTGCACGCCTGCCTCTCTACCTGCCACGCCTGCCTCTCTACCTGCACGCCTGCCTCTCTACCTGCACGCCTGCCTCTCTACCTGCACGCCTGCCTCTCTACCTGCACGCCTGCCTCTCTACCTGCACGCCTGCCTCTCTACCTGCACGCCTGCCTCTCTACCTGCACGCCTGCCTCTCTACCTGCACGCCTGCCTCTCTACCTGCACGCCTGCCTCTCTACCTGCACGCCTGCCTCTCTACCTGCACGCCTGCCTCTCTACCTGCACGCCTGCCTCTCTACCTGCACGCCTGCCTCTCTACCTGCACGCCTGCCTCTCTACCTGCACGCCTGCCTCTCTACCTGCACGCCTGCCTCTCTACCTGCACGCCTGCCTCTCTACCTGCACGCCTGCCTCTCTACCTGCACGCCTGCCTCTCTACCTGCACGCCTGCCTCTCTACCTGCACGCCTGCCTCTCTACCTGCACGCCTGCCTCTCTACCTGCACGCCTGCCTCTCTACCTGCACGCCTGCCTCTCTACCTGCACGCCTGCCTCTCTACCTGCACCTGCCTCTCTACCTGCACGCCTGCCCTCTCTACCTGCACGCCTGCCTCTCTACCTGCACGCCTGCCTCTCTACCTGCACGCCTGCCTCTCTACCTGCACGCCTGCCTCTCTACCTGCACGCCTGCCTCTCTACCTGCACGCCTGCCTCTCTACCTGCACGCCTGCCTCTCTACCTGCACGCCTGCCTCTCTACCTGCACGCCTGCCTCTTCTACCTGCACGCCTGCCTCTCTACCTGCACGCCTGCCTCTCTACCTGCACGCCTGCCTCTCTACCTGCACGCCTGCCTCTCTACCTGCACGCCTGCCTCTCTACCTGCACGCCTGCCTCTCTACCTGCACGCCTTGCCTCTCTACCTGCACGCCTGCCTCTCTACCTGCACGCTTGCCTCTCTACCTGCACGCTTGCCTCTCTACCTGCACGCCTGCCTCTCTACCTGCACGCCTGCCTCTCTACCTGCACGCCTGCCTCTCTACCTGCACGCTGCCTCTCTACCTGCACGCCTTGCCTCTCTACCTGCACGCCTGCCTCTCTACCTGCACGCTTGCCTCTCTACCTGCACGCTTGCCTCTCTACCTGCACCTGCCTCTCTACCTGCACGCCTGCCTCTCTACCTGCACGCCTTGCCTCTCTACCTGCACGCCTGCCTCTCTACCTGCACGCCTGCCTCTCTACCTGCACGCCTGCCTCTCTACCTGCACGCTGCCTCTCTACCTGCACGCCTGCCTCTCTACCTGCACGCTGCCTCTCTACCTGCACGCTTGCCTCTCTACCTGCACGCTTGCCTCTCTACCTGCACGCTTGCCTCTCTACCTGCACGCTTGCCTCTCTACCTGCACGCTTGCCTCTCTACCTGCACGCTTGCTCTCTACCTGCACGCTTGCCTCTCTACCTGCACGCTTGCCTCTCTACCTGCACGCTTGCCTCTCTACCTGCACGCTTGCCTCTCTACCTGCACGCTTGCCTCTCTACCTGCACGCTTGCCTCTCTACCTGCACGCTTGCCTCTCTACCTGCACGCTTGCCTCTCTACCTGCACGCTTGCCTCTCTACCTGCACGCTTGCCTCTCTACCTGCACGCTTGCCTCTCTACCTGCACGCTTGCCTCTCTACCTGCACGCTTGCCTCTCTACCTGCACGCTTGCCTCTCTACCTGCACGCTTGCCTCTCTACCTGCACGCTTGCCTCTCTACCTGCACGCTTGCCTCTCTACCTGCACGCTTGCCTCTCTACCTGCACGCTTGCCTCTCTACCTGCACGCTTGCCTCTCTACCTGCACGCTTGCCTCTCTACCTGCACGCTTGCCTCTCTACCTGCACGCTTGCCTCTCTACCTGCACGCTTGCCTCTCTACCTGCACGCTTGCCTCTCTACCTGCACGCTTGCCTCTCTACCTGCACGCTTGCCTCTCTACCTGCACGCTTGCCTCTCTACCTGCACGCTTGCCTCTCTACCTGCACGCTTGCCTCTCTACCTGCACGCCTGCCTCTCTACCTGCACGCTTGCCTCTCTACCTGCACGCTTGCCTCTCTACCTGCACGCTTGCCTCTCTACCTGCACGCTTGCCTCTCTACCTGCACGCTTGCCTCTCTACCTGCACGCTTGCCTCTCTACCTGCACGCTTGCCTCTCTACCTGCACGCTTGCCTCTCTACCTGCACGCTTGCCTCTCTACCTGCACGCTTGCCTCTCTACCTGCACGCTTGCCTCTCTACCTGCACGCTTGCCTCTCTACCTGCACGCTTGCCTCTCTACCTGCACGCTTGCCTCTCTACCTGCACGCTTGCCTCTCTACCTGCACGCTTGCCTCTCTACCTGCACGCTTGCCTCTCTACCTGCACGCTTGCCTCTCTACCTGCACGCCTGCCTCTCTACCTGCACGCCTGCCTCTCTACCTGCACGCCTGCCTCTCTACCTGCACGCCTGCCTCTCTACCTGCACGCTTGCCTCTCTACCTGCACGCTTGCCTCTCTACCTGCACGCCTGCCTCTCTACCTGCACGCTTGCCTCTCTACCTGCACGCTTGCCTCTCTACCTGCACGCCTGCCTCTCTACCTGCACGCTTGCCTCTCTACCTGCACGCTTGCCTCTCTACCTGCACGCTTGCCTCTCTACCTGCACGCTGCCTCTCTACCTGCACGCTTGCCTCTCTACCTGCACGCTTGCCTCTCTACCTGCACGCTTGCCTCTCTACCTGCACGCTTGCCTCTCTACCTGCACGCTTGCCTCTCTACCTGCACGCTTGCCTCTCTACCTGCCCGCGTGCCTCTCTACCTGCACGCTTGCCTCTCTACCTGCACGCTTGCCTCTCTACCTGCACGCTTGCCTCTCTACCTGCACGCTTGCCTCTCTACCTGCAGCTGCTTGCCTGCTCTACCTGTCACGCTTATGCCTGCTCTACCTGCACGCTTGCCTCTCTACCTGCACGCTTGCCTCTCTACCTGCACGCTTGCCTCTCTACCTGCACGCTTGCCTCTCTACCTAGGCTACTGCACGCTTGCCTCTCTACCTCACGCTTGCCTCTCTACCTGCACGCTTGCCTCTCTACCTGCACGCTTGCCTCTCTACCTGCACGCTTGCCTCTCTACCTGCACGCTTGCCTCTCTACCTGCACGGCTTGCCTCTCTACCTGCACGCTTGCCTCTCTACCGCACGCCTGGCCTCTCTACCTGCAGCACCTACCTGCACGCTTCCAACTTTGCCGTCTCTACCTGCACGCTTGCCTCTCTAACCTGCACGCTTGCCTCTCTACACCTGCACTCCTGGCCTCTCTACCTGCACGCTTGCCTCTCTACCTGCACGCTTGCCTCTCTACCTGCACGCTTGCCTCTCTACCTGCACGCTTGCCTCTCTACCTGCACGCTTGCCTCTCTACCTGCACGCCTGCCTCTCTACCTGCACGCTTGCCTCTCTACCTGCACGCCTGCCTCTCTACCTGCACGCTTGCCTCTCTACCTGCACGCCTGCCTCTCTACCTGCACGCCTGCCTCTCTACCTGCACGCTGCCTCTCTACCTGCACGCCTGCCTCTCTACCTGCACGCCTGCCTCTCTACCTGCACGCCTGCCTCTCTACCTGCACGCCTGCCTCTCTACCTGCACGCTTGCCTCTCTACCTGCACGCTGCCTCTCTACCTGCACGCCTGCCTCTCTACCTGCACGCCTGCCTCTCTACCTGCACGCTTGCCTCTCTACCTGCACGCCTGCCTCTCTACCTGCACGCTTGCCTCTCTACCTGCACGCTTGCCTCTCTACCTGCACGCCTGCCTCTCTACCTGCACGCCTGCCTCTCTACCTGCACGCCTGCCTCTCTACCTGCACGCCTGCCTCTCTACCTGCACGCCTGCCTCTCTACCTGCACGCCTGCCTCTCTACCTGCACGCCTGCCTCTCTACCTGCACGCCTGCCTCTCTACCTGCACGCCTGCCTCTCTACCTGCACGCCTGCCTCTCTACCTGCACGCCTGCCTCTCTACCTGCACGCCTGCCTCTCTACCTGCACGCCTGCCTCTCTACCTGCACGCCTGCCTCTCTACCTGCACGCCTGCCTCTCTACCTGCACGCCTGCCTCTCTACCTGCACGCCTGCCTCTCTACCTGCACGCCTGCCTCTCTACCTGCACGCCTGCCTCTCTACCTGCACGCCTGCCTCTCTACCTGCACGCCTGCCTCTCTACCTGCACGCCTGCCTCTCTACCTGCACGCCTGCCTCTCTACCTGCACAGCCTGCCTCTCTACCTGCACGCCTGCCTCTCTACCTGCACGCTCTACCTGCACGCCTGCCTCTCTACCTGCACGCCTGCCTCTCTACCTGCACGCCTGCCTCTCTACCTGCACGCCTGCCTCTCTACTGCCACGCCTGCCTCTACCTGCACGCCTGCCTCTCTACCTGCACGCCTGCCTCTCTACCTGCACGCCTGCCCTCTCTACCTGCAACCTGCCTCCTGCACCCTCTCTACTGCACGCCTGCCTCTCTACCTGCACGCCTGCCTCTCTACCTGCACGCCTGCCTCTCTACCTGCACGCCTGCCTCTCTACCTGCCGCTGCCTCTCTACCTGCACGCCTGCCTCTCTACCTGCACGCCTGCCTCTCTACCTGCACGCCTGCCTCTCTACCTGCACGCCTGCCTCTCTACCTGCACGCCTGCCTCTCTACCTGCACGCCTGCCTCTCTACCTGCACGCCTGCCTCTCTACCTGCACGCCTGCCTCTCTACCTGCACGCCTGCCTCTCTACCTGCACGCCTGCCTCTCTACCTGCACGCCTGCCTCTCTACCTGCACGCCTGCCTCTCTACCTGCACGCCTGCCTCTCTACCTGCACGCCTGCCTCTCTACCCTGCACGCCTGCCTCTCTACCTGCACGCCTGCCTCTCTACCTGCACGCCTGCCTCTCTACCTGCACGCCTGCCTCTTCTACCTGCACGCCTGCCTCTCTACCTGCACGCCTGCCCTCTCTACCTGCAACGCCTGCCTCTCTACCTGCACGCCTGCCCTCTCTACCTGCACGCCTGCCTCTCTACCTGCACGCCTGCCTCTCTACCTGCACGCCTGCCTCTCTACCTGCACGCCTGCCTCTCTACCTGCACGCCTGCCTCTCTACCTGCACGCCTGCCTCTCTACCTGCACGCCTGCTCTCTACCTGCACCCTGCCTCTCTACCTGCACGCCTGCCTCTCTACCTGCACGCTGCCTCTCTACCTGCACGCCTGCCTCTCTACCTGCACGCCTGCCTCTCTACCATGCACGCCTGCCTCTCTACCTGCAACGCCTGCCTCTCTACCTCAGCCTGCCTCTCTACCTACACGCCTGCCTCTCTACCCTGCACGCCTTGCCTCTCTACCTGCACGCTTGCCTCTCTACTGCACGCTTGCCTCTCTACCTGCACGCCTGCCTCTCTACCTGCACGCCGTGCCTCTCTACCTGCACGCTCTGCCTCTCTTACCTGCACGCCTGCCTCTCTACCTGCACGCCTGCCTCTCTACCTGCACGCTGCTCTCTACCTGCACGCCTGCCTCTCTAACCTGCACGCTTGCCTCTCTACCTGCCGCCTTGCCTCTCTACCTGCACGCCTGCCTCTCTACCTGCACGCCTGCCTCTCTACCTGCACGCCTGCCTCTCTACCTGCACGCCTGCCTCTCTACCTGCACGCCTGCCTCTCTACCTGCACGCCTGCCTCTCTACCTGCACGCTGCTCTCTACCTGCACGCCTGCCTCTCTACCTGCACGCCTGCCTCTCTACCTGCACAGCCTGCCTCTCTACCTGCACGCCTGCCTCTCTACCTGCACGCCTGCCTCTTCTACCTGCACGCTGCCTCTCTACCTGCACGCTTGCCTCTCTATCCTGCACGCCTGCCTCTCTACCTGCACGCTGCCTCTCTACCTGCACGCTTGCCTCTCTACCTGCACGCCTGCCTCTCTACCTGCACGCCTGCCTCTCTACCTGCACGCTTGCCTCTCTACCTGCACGCTTGCCTCTCTACCTGCACGCTTGCCTCTCTACCTGCACGCTTGCCTCTCTACCTGCACGCTTGCCTCTCTACCTGCACGACTGCACTCTCTACCTACGCCTGCACTCTACCCTGCCCGCCTGCCTCTCTACCTGCACGCCTGCCTCCTACCTGCACGCCTGCCTCTCTACCTGCACGCCTGCTCTCTACCTGCCCGCCTGCCTCTCTACCTGCACGCCTGCCTCTCTACCTGCACGCTGCCTCTCTACCTGCACGCTTGCCTCTCTACCTGCACGCCTTGCCTCTCTACCTGCACGCTGCCTCTCTACCTGCACGCCTGCCTCTCTACCTGCACGCCTGCCTCTCTACCTGCACGCCTGCCTCTCTACCTGCACGCCTTGCCTCTCTACCTGCACGCCTGCCTCTCTACCTGCCCGCTTGCCCTCTCTAACCTGCACGCTTGCCTCTCTACCTGCACGCTTGCCTCTCTACCTGCACGCTTGCCTCTCTACCTGCACGCTTGCCTCTCTACCTGCACGCTTGCCTCTCTACTGCACGCTTGCCTCTCTACCTGCACGCCTGCCTCTCTACCTGCACGCCTTGCCTCTCTACCTGCACGCCTGCCTCTCTACCTGCACGCTGCCTCTCTACCTGCACGCCTGCCTCTCTACCTGCAACGCCTGCCTCTCTACCTGCACGCCTGCCTCTCTACCTGCACGCCTGCCTCTCTACCTGCACGCCTGCCTCTCTACCTGCACGCCTGCCTCTCTACCTGCACGCCTGCCTCTCTACCTTGCACGCCTGCCTCTCCTCCTACCTGCATCGCCTGCCTCTCTACCTGCACGCCTGCCTCTCTACCTGCACGCTTGCCTCTCTACCTGCACGCTTGCCTCTCTAACCTGCACGCCTGCCTCTCTACCTGCACGCTTGCCTCTCTACCTGCACGCTTGCCTCTCTACCTGCACGCTTGCCTCTCTACCTGCTAGCACGCTTGCCTCTCTACCTGCACGGCAGTTGCCTCTCTACCTGCACGCTTGCCTCTCTACCTGCACGCTTGCCTCTCTACCTGCACGCTTGCCTCTCTACCTGCACGCTTGCCTCTCTACCTGCACGCTTGCCTCTCTACCTGCACGCTTGCCTCTCTACCTGCACGCTTGCCTCTCTACCTGCCGCGGCCTCTCTACCTGCACGCTTGCCTCTCTACTGCACGCTTGCCTCTCTACCTGCACGCTTGCCTCTCTACCTGCACGCTTGCCTCTCTACCTGCACGCTTGCCTCTCTACCTGCACGCTTGCCTCTCTACCTGCACGCTTGCTCTCTACCTGCACGCTTGCCTCTCTACCTGCACGCTTGCCTCTCTACCTGCACGCTTGCCTCTCTACCTGCACGCTTGCCTCTCTACCTGCACGCTTGCCTCTCTACCTGCACGCTTGCCTCTCTACCTGCACGCTTGCCTCTCTACCTGCACGCTTGCCTCTCTACCTGCACGCTTGCCTCTCTACCTGCACGCTTGCCTCTCTACCTGCACGCTTGCCTCTCTACCTGCACCGCTTGCCTCTCTACCTGCACGCTTGCCTCTCTACCTGCACGCTTGCCTCTCTACCTGCACGCTTGCCTCTCTACCTGCACGCTTGCCTCTCTACCTGCACGCTTGCCTCTCTACCTGCACGCTTGCCTCTCTACCTGCACGCTTGCCTCTCTACCTGCACGCTTGCCTCTCTACCTGCACGCTTGCCTCTCTACCTGCACGCTTGCCTCTCTACCTGCACGCTTGCCTCTCTACCTGCACGCTTGCCTCTCTACCTGCACGCTTGCCTCTCTACCTGCACGCTTGCCTCTCTACCTGCACGCTTGCCTCTCTACTGCACGCTTGCCTCTCTACCTGCACGCTTGCCTCTCTAACCTGCACGCTTGCCTCTCTACCTGCACGCCTGCCTCTCTACCTGCACGCTTGCCTCTCTACCTGCACGCTTGCCTCTCTACCTGCACGCTTGCCTCTCTACCTGCACGCTTGCCTCTCTACCTGCACGCCTTGCCTCTCTACCTGCACGCTTGCCTCTCTACCTGCACGCTTGCCTCTCTACCTGCACGCTTGCCTCTCTACCTGCACGCTGCCTCTCTACCTGCACGCTTGCCTCTCTACCTGCACGCCTGCCTCTCTACCTGCACGCTTGCCTCTCTACCTGCACGCTTGCCTCTCTACCTGCACGCTTGCCTCTCTACCTGCACGCTTGCCTCTCTACCTGCACGCCTTGCCTCTCTACCTGCACGCCTGCCTCTCTACCTGCACGCCTGCCTCTCTACCTGCACGCTTGCCTCTCTACCTGCACGCCTGCCTCTCTACCTGCACGCTTGCCTCTCTACCTGCACGCTTGCCTCTCTACCTGCACGCTTGCCTCTCTACCTGCACGCCTGCCTCTCTACCTGCAACGCCTGCCTCTCTACCTGCAACGCCTGCCTCTCTACCTGCACGCTTGCCTCTCTACCTGCACGCCTGCCTCTCTACCTGCACGCCTGCCTCTCTACCTGCACGCTTGCCTCTCTACCTGCACGCTTGCCTCTCTACCTGCACGCTTGCCTCTCTACCTGCACGCTTGCCTCTCTACCTGCACGCTTGCCTCTCTACCTGCACGCTTGCCTCTCTACCTGCACGCCTGCCTCTCTACCTGCACGCTTGCCTCTCTACCTGCACGCTTGCCTCTCTACCTGCACGCTTGCCTCTCTACCTGCACGCTTGCCTCTCTACCTGCACGCTTGCCTCTCTACCTGCACGCTTGCCTCTCTACCTGCACGCTTGCCTCTCTACCTGCACGCTTGCCTCTCTACCTGCACGCTTGCCTCTCTACCTGCACGCTTGCCTCTCTACCTGCACGCTTGCCTCTCTACCTGCAACGCTTGCCTCTCTACCTGCACGCCTGCCTCTCTACCTGCACGCTTGCCTCTCTACCTGCACGCTTGCCTCTCTACCTGCACGCTTGCCTCTCTACCTGCAACGCTTGCCTCTCTACCTGCACAGCTTGCCTCTCTACCTGCACGCTTGCCTCTCTACCTGCACGCTTGCCTCTCTACCTGCACGCTTGCCTCTCTACCTGCACGCTTGCCTCTCTACCTGCACGCTTGCCTCTCTACCTGCACGCTTGCCTCTCTACCTGCACGCTTGCCTCTCTACCTGCACGCTTGCCTCTCTAGCTGCACGGCGTTGCTCTCGAACTGCAACGCTTGCCTCTCTAACCTGCACGCTTGCCTCTCTAACCTGCACGCTTGCCTCTCTACCTGCACTCTGCCTCTTACCTGCACGGCTTGCCTCTCTACCTGCACGCTTGCCTCTCTACCTGCACGCTTGCCTCTCTACCTGCACGCTTGCCTCTCTACCTGCACGCTTGCCTCTCTACCTGCACGCTTGCCTCTCTACCTGCACGCTTGCCTCTCTACCTGCACGCTTGCCTCTCTACCTGCACGCTTGCCTCTCTACCTGCACGCTTGCCCTCTCTACCTGCACGCTTGCCTCTCTACCTGCACGCTTGCCTGCCTCTCTACCTGCACTGCTTGCCCTCTCTACCTGCAACGCTTGCTCTCTACCTGCACGCCTGCCTCCTCTAACTGCACGCTTGCCTCTCTACCTGCAACGCTTGCCTCTCTACCTGCACGCTTGCCTCTCTACTGCACGCTTGCCTCTCTACCATGCACGCTTGCCTCTCTACCTGCACGCTTGCCTCTCTACCTGCACGCTTGCCTCTCTACCTGCACGCTTGCCTCTCTACCTGCACGCCTGCCTCTCTACCTGCACGCTTGCCTCTCTACCTGCACTGCTTGCCTCTCTACCTGCACGCCTGCCTCTCTACCTGCACGCTTGCCTCTTCTACCTGCAAGCCTTGCCTCTCTACCTGCACGCTTGCCTCTCTACCTGCACGCTTGCCTCTCTACCTGCACGCTTGCCTCTCTACCTGCACGCTTGCCTCTCTACCTGCACGCTTGCCTCTCTACCTGCACGCTTGCCTCTCTACCTGCACGCTTGCCTCTCTACCTGCACGCTTGCCTCTCTACCTGCACGCTTGCCTCTCTACCTGCACGCTTGCCTCTCTACCTGCACGCTTGCCTCTCTACCTGCACGCTTGCCTCTCTACCTGCACGCTTGCCTCTCTACCTGCACGCTTGCCTCTCTACCTGCACGCTTGCCTCTCTACCTGCACGCTTGCCTCTCTACCTGCACGCTTGCCTCTCTACCTGCACGCTTGCCTCTCTACCTGCACGCTTGCCTCTCTACCTGCACGCTTGCCTCTCTACCTGCACGCTTGCCTCTCTACCTGCACGCTTGCCTCTCTACCTGCACGCTTGCCTCTCTACCTGCACGCTTGCCTCTCTACCTGCACGCTTGCCTCTCTACCTGCACGCTTGCCTCTCTACCTGCACGCTTGCCTCTCTACCTGCACGCTTGCCTCTCTACCTGCACGCTTGCCTCTCTACCTGCACGCTTGCCTCTCTACCTGCACGCTTGCCTCTCTACCTGCACGCTTGCCTCTCTACCTGCACGCTTGCCTCTCTACCTGCACGCTTGCCTCTCTACCTGCACGCTTGCCTCTCTACCTGCACGCTTGCCTCTCTACCTGCACGCTTGCCTCTCTACCTGCACGCTTGCCTCTCTACCTGCACGCTTGCCTCTCTACCTGCACGCTTGCCTCTCTACCTGCACGCTTGCCTCTCTACCTGCACGCTTGCCTCTCTACCTGCACGCTTGCCTCTCTACCTGCACGCTTGCCTCTCTACCTGCACGCTTGCCTCTCTACCTGCACGCTTGCCTCTCTACCTGCACGCTTGCCTCTCTACCTGCACGCTTGCCTCTCTACCTGCACGCTTGCCTCTCTACCTGCACGCTTGCCTCTCTACCTGCACGCTTGCCTCTCTACCTGCACGCTTGCCTCTCTACCTGCACGCTTGCCTCTCTACCTGCACGCTTGCCTCTCTACCTGCACGCTTGCCTCTCTACCTGCACGCTTGCCTCTCTACCTGCACGCTTGCCTCTCTACCTGCACGCTTGCCTCTCTACCTGCACGCTTGCCTCTCTACCTGCACGCTTGCCTCTCTACCTGCACGCTTGCCTCTCTACCTGCACGCTTGCCTCTCTACCTGCACGCTTGCCTCTCTACCTGCACGCTTGCCTCTCTACCTGCACGCTTGCCTCTCTACCTGCACGCTTGCCTCTCTACCTGCACGCTTGCCTCTCTACCTGCACGCTTGCCTCTCTACCTGCACGCTTGCCTCTCTACCTGCACGCTTGCCTCTCTACCTGCACGCTTGCCTCTCTACCTGCACGCTTGCCTCTCTACCTGCACGCTTGCCTCTCTACCTGCACGCTTGCCTCTCTACCTGCACGCTTGCCTCTCTACCTGCACGCTTGCCTCTCTACCTGCACGCTTGCCTCTCTACCTGCACGCTTGCCTCTCTACCTGCACG